TATGTTAGATATGTAATTATACGTAATACAAGCTTCAATTTAAGGTAAAATTCAACCACAAACAATTCACAAAACGTTTTAAAGTGTTCTTTATAAAACTAAACTGCCTTTAACTATTAAATGGCTTTATCGATAAATTTGGGTTTGCAATAAAATGATTTCAAATTCTTGCTACTTTAACTTTGCTTTATTTTTTATTTAAAAAATTCAATATGATAAAAAAGGGAATCAATATTAAAGATACACTGAAATTATATGCTGTCTTGTTTAGTTGTTTCATATACGCAAATTAAAGGCCGTCGGGTTTTAAATTAAAGTCATTATAAAATCAATATTTAAAACAAACTTACCTTCGTTAACGTCGGCTCTCTTCTTTTAGCTGATTCTTTCGCCCTTTCATTCTTGAAATTTACAAATTCTTGCAGAAGAGCAAAAATGAAATATATTTGCAAGAAATTTATCAATCATCAAATCAAGAAATGACAGAAATGTTCGCTATTTCGCTGTCGTCATGCAGTTGTTGTAATGCAAACTTTAAATTGGACCAATCAGTGTCCGTTATTCATCACAGTCCGCCATATTTTTGAGATCAGTGAGGATGAGCACCCATCGTTGGTGACCACTGAGCTATACTATATTACTGGAGGACCTGCTCGGCATCAAGAGGTGAAGCCAAAAACATGGCGGATTTTCACGTTTGCTGACGCCAGAATGACGCCACTGGTCCCAAATCCTCATGGTAATTACCACTGAGCAAGGCTCATTTTGAGCCCGCTACCACTTTTGCATCCCCCTGATTTTCGCAAAAATATTTTAGCTTTTTGTTTTGAAGTTTGCCTCGGTGTTTGCATTTTCTTCGACATTTTAACATTTGTTTCGAGTTGCACAAGTACTAAGAATCATCCTGGCTAGTGAAGGACAGGGAACGAATCTTCAAACCTCAAGAAATTTTGGAAAGACGTTGTTTTGTAAAGGTAAAAAATACTGTTTATACGTTCAATATTAATTTGTGATTTTGTGATAGAGTAGGTCAAAACAAAGCGAAATAAACAGCCTATTTGTACTGTGTAGTGGACAATTTTAGCAACTGATGTATACAATTAGGTTGCCCAAACTATATTAATACGAGAAACAGTCTTCCTCGAAAGAAAATGGTTGAAATTTTAGATTTTAGTTTCATTTGTTATTTCAAATTTTACGATATAAAATGCCATTTTTGACCACCATCTGCTTCATGATCCTACTTATTAAAATCAAAGTGTTTTCTATTGTATTAGTATACCTATAGAGGAAGACCTTTTTAAGCCAGAACTATCATGGCTTTGAATGATTTAATCCATGTATTAAACTGGTCACTGATGGCAATGAAATTTTAATGTGAGAATTATCAACTGCCTATCAAGATCCAAAAACTGGCAGTTCAATTCTACCAACTTCTGTTGAAGCTATTTCATATAGTGCACCCTACCTGTATTTTACTTGTCTAACGCCAGACGATATTACCATAGGCGTACGAGACAGGGGGCAGGAGAGGCAACTACTGCAACCCAAAATTTTGGAAAACCATGGAAATTCGGGCAAATGCTAGAAAAACTCAAGAAAATTTGGGAAGATTTATCAGAAAATAGGTTAAATTCAGGCAATTTCATTACAATCCTCCATAAAAATTCAGGCAAACTTTCAACTTCCCCCTGGAAAGCATCAGCCCTGTACGCCTATGGATTTTACTCGTCAATAGGGAAGATCTGCAGCTTACTAGAAAATGAAACATTCTTGATGATATTTGATGTTAATAATTGATCATGCATTTTTGGAGGAAAATATTTTAAATACACAGTGGTTGTTTGCCTGACACTGAACCTCAATATTCACATACTATTTGTTTGAACTATTTTTCTCATTCTTTCAACATGCTAAAATGATACAAAATTTTAGTTGAATTCAAGCAAGTCCTCGCGGTCCTGTTGTCAACATTATCACTTTGTTAGTAGCATATATCTGCTTAAGCCCTGGGTTCTTGAAAATGAGTGGAATTTCAAGAGCATTGACTGACCGGCTTTGTGCAAACAGGTGGCCTTACCAGTTGGGATGAGGGCCAGTTAAGGTTAGCGTCGGGTGCAGGCAAGGTTCATGTAAATTGCTTATTGTTAGCAAGAATGTTATGTGTACACAATCATGTGTAATATTGTGTTGGATTAATAGCAGTTAAAACGTTGGGACACAGTGTCGGACACTTAAACCACAACAATTGTTATATAAGGTATCTGGTTGTTTTAGTGTAATATTAATTTCTCACATATTTTTTCAGAAATAAAGCACCATTGAGCAACGTGTTGGGAAAGAGAAGTCACAAACTGTTGATGAATATATTTAATTAACTACATCCACATAAAATACAATTTTATTAACAGTATTTTGATTTATGGTCATAGTTATTAGATTACATTATTTTCATATTAAAAATAAAATTAACAAATTACAATATCAGTGTGAAAATATTGCAATAATCAATTAAAATGTCAAACCAGCTAATTGTTTCAATTATTTAATTGTGAGTGTAACCTAACCCCCCCCCCCCCCCCCTGGGCTAGGGAACAACAGAGTTGCTGTGGGCCCTATAATAATTATCCCTTTTGATAAGTGGCAATGCACCATATAATTTTCCTGTCAAAGGCCAGACAAATATACTTGTAAATGCATGGGGAGAGCTTTCACTCCATGGGTTGACCCAGAGAGGTTGACCATTGTATGTTAAGCCTTTGATAAATGGCAATGTGCCCCAGTGCACCCTACTTTATTATTATATTCTGTCTAATGGCAGACAATTTTATTTGTGAAGGGGAGAGTGCTGGTGCTCAATGAGTTAAATGGAATATACTAATTGCTTCGAACAAAGGTGTCATTCTCCTTTGTGCATGGCATGACATTTAACCAGGGCATTCTTCTCCAAGTTTTCTACACATCTCAGAATTTTTTTCGTATCTGGAAAAGGGTAATAGAATACATCCAATCAGTCATGTACTATATTATCTATATAATTTGGTCAACATGCTATTGAACATATTTTTTCCTTTCAAATATTAAAATATGTCAGAGTGTTGTGAAATAGGCATCCCTTATTCACCCATTGACTTCTATTTCTATGTACTATCCATAAATTCATTTTCGTCAAGAAGAATTCATGTCTATTTGCTGGCCTTTTTATATATGAACTATAAACTTTACTTGTACAACTAGGTATTGGGCCTCCTACTGTTAGCCACTCAGCCATGAAAAAAAATTAAAATTGTCTATTAAAATCACAACTCAAATTTGTAGTGTGAGCCTTGCAAGCTTTTATTCAACACTTAATCCTACAGAAACACTTATTAGGAACAGTTTTGATCTGTTCTGTGCCCATTACAACCATATATTGGGCCTCCTAGTCCTATGACAATATATTTAATAAACCCTAGGATAAGTTGGGACTTGACAGGCCATCTGTCCATCATTTTGAGGCATTTCTGTTGCTATACTGTATGTGAAATCGATGTTGGGTCTTTGGGTAAGGACTCCAGAGAAAAACAAAAACTATAACCTACCCAAATGGCAAAATAAAACATAAAGAAAAGTGAGTAAAGGCAGAAAAATACCAGCTGATGTACAGCGTCGTTAATTAATATTTGTAAATTTCGTATCCAATTTTTCTTGCAAAAAACGGTGTTTATTTAGTACAAATGAAGCATTTAATACATCTTACCAGTAAGAAGAAGTGTTTCTTCTTGACAAAGAATTGTGGCATCATGAAGCCATGCAAAAGCTCGGCATTTTTTCTTGATGTGTTTTTTTATATAAACTTTCAGCAGAGTTTCCCTCTTTTTTCAAAAACCAGGGGGGTGAAATTGTTGTCTGAAGCTGAGGATCGCGGTTGGCCAGTGGTAATTACCACAAGGATTTGGGACCAGTGGCGTCATTCTGGCGTCAGCAAACGTGAAACTGGAAAATCCTTGAAAATCCGCCATATTTTTGGCTTCACTTGCTTGACTGAAGAGAGATAGGAGCACTTCCTCCAGATATATTATAGCTCAGTGGTTGACTCATATGGTTGACTACCTCACGGGCGTTCTTTGAGGGTGACGTCAATACAATTGGAAAGCGGTTTTCCACTATAAACTCGTAGTATCTTCGTAAAATCTTCGTAACATGTTCGTATAAATTAATTATTTATTGTTATTGGCAACAAATGGCAAGGATTCGATCCGCTATCCTTAGAGCAGTATAGCACTATAGCCACAACACTATACATTGCAGTAATCGCTGAAATTGAACACACAGAAACAATAGTTAATATATTCATTCATTTACGATCAGAATCTAAATTACAAAGGAACTGGACTGCCGGTCATTTAGGCCATTTAGTACATTTCGAAACCTGACCAGCTATCAGTCAAATGGTCACAGACTCACAGAGATGTATTTTTACCATTGGTGAGCATTGCTATTTGGAAGTGGTTATTGGTCCCACATTTCCGTGATAACAACAAAAGCACGTAAATTTAACTAACTTCGCAGCAAATTCTCCGTAGTGTTGTGGTTTAGGCGCCCGCTTTCTATGTGATAACTTGCGGATCGAATCCTGCTCGCGCCTCTACTTTATTATTTTTTTTTAAACTTTTTTTCCTTCGTGGTTTCACAAGTTTTCACCCTTTTGGGTTAGGTTAGGTAAGGGGGTTAGGTTAGGGTTAATGTCCGGACGCGATTCGACCACACGACGCAATTTTTTAGTTTTTGAAAGTTAATTATTAATGAGAGCAAATTTTGGAAGACATGTAGATGTTGGGAATTTTGCTTTAAGTATCACCAACAAATCACTAGTTGTATTTTTGATATATAATCTCTCAAATCACTCACTCTCGTATCACATTTTTACAATGGTTTCGCAGTCAAAGTCTCTCACAATAACAAAAATTCCTGATTTAAAGGAAAACTATGTATCACGCTATCGCGCGTGGAGTTCACGTGTTCTATTACTATTTTAACTATAGACTGAGGTAAAGTCTCCGACA